ACAATTAAATTTACTTTCTCGTAATTAAATTAGTAATCCAGCTGGTTTACCATTTATGTACAGTACTGCATCCAACTTTTGAAAACCATACTCATTAGCTGACAAAGAGGATTGAGTTAAGTCTCATACTTGAATACTCTGTGATGTCTTATTCAAGCTTAATAATCGTGCCAGGGAAACTACAACTTCTGATTGAGTCTGCTTACATTAATAGTTGAAAGTGGTTGTTGCAGAATGCACAATTAACTTACGAGTTGTTATGAATACATTAGATATGAGAGTAGTGTTTGTGATTATTTTTCTGAAGTTGTTCAGTATGGTTATTAGGTCAGTTTCTACAGATTGATTTGGTTCCATCTAGTGGGATTTACTGATTGAACTAATTTATAAGAATGTTAAGACTTTTGTGGACTTGAAAATTAAGAGAAAGCTATGGAGAGAATGATGTGTTTTGATGCTGATTTCTATAACGTTTCTTACTTTTAAAATGGTCTTCTATCTCACTTCTCTTCCACCTCGATTATGTGATAACATAAAAGGCCTGAAAATGATACAAGGTGTACTGCAAGAGCAATAACATGTAAAAATACTGTGTATTTTATATGTTTGCGGAAGTTTACTGGTTTATTTTTTTCATCCAATATAAATATTTGGAAAAAATAGCTAAATGAGTTAGTTTATACAAGTATATTTCCTCACATACCCTGAAAACTACAAAGGATAATATTATGTTGAAAAACTAATTGTGACAAATAAGCAGTTCAGGTATCCGAGTCCATTTAAATTTGTCCAAAAATAGTTCAACATAAGTATATGTACTTTTCATTTGGAAATAAAAATATGAACATTTTGACTTAAAAGGAGTGCCAGAAGGAAATGAGAATGAAGAAAATTAGATTAGCCTAAGCGTTTTACTTAGTAAGGTCGAACAATGGGAATATTGGATAGTGCTGACACTTTAGCAAACATTGTTTTACTGGAAATTCCCATTCAGTATAAGTTCACTGTAATTTCTCCTGTAAGAAGGGGTATCTTAAGTATCTATGAAGATATAAACAGAGATCAGGGTCTTTGACTGTTTTAAGTTGAATGATCTCATCCAAAACTTTCATTGTTATGTTGAATAGAATTATCTCTCTTGTAGTTGGTGACTAGATGCCAGGGTGATGTTGAATGAACCTTACCTTTTACAATAATGATGTTCATCACTTTACTGCAACCTCTATCACTAAACTAACCATATCACAATACTTCTACATTCTTCAACTTCTTCAATGGACAATAAATTTAAAATGTGTTTTCTAAAATCGGGTTTTAAAATGTATTTTTCCAGCTAATTCTACAAAAATAAAAACTAATAAAGGTATCATAACAATTTTTGAAGAAATGTGTGCTGTGTAATGTATTCATTGAAGTTAATTGTAAGTGGTTTCACAAGAAAATTCTGTAAAAAAACAACCAAGTAAAGAAAAATATATATGACACACCCCCTAGACTGTTTGATCGCTTAGAAGTTCAACAAATTATCCGCATGTCAGAATTCTCAAAGCAAAATGTCTTCTCAGTATGCTACTATTATTCAATTACTTTTCTGATGCTTAAGAAAGGCAAACTTATTGAAACTATGTTTTTAGGTGAATTCATTCACATGAACATATTCTTTACTTTCAAAAAAACTTTCTGCTGTTTCTACACACTAAACAATTGTTACTAATTTTAGTTGCAAACAGCTACCCTAAACTGCTATACGGAATTGACATACCTTCATTACTTCTGTGTTGATCCAAAACATGTTCTGCTGCGTTCTCATAATCAGTTGGCTGAAAGTTATGTTGCAGCCTACTTTCAGTAAAGTAAGAGATCCTGAAAAATTTTCAAAATTATTAAACCCGGTTTATCTTCTGCCCTACCAAAATGTGAGTTGAATTACTCGGGTTTAATTAAGCTAATGATCAGACAGTCACTTTGTTCTTGCTAATGGCTTGCTTCAAGTATTGATCTGCTGCTTCGATTTCTTTATCCCTATGTACTTCCCCTTGACAATATTGTCTGATGTCAGCATCTTGCCTTCTGAAGAGGATAGACGGTAATGTGTACTGTGACAATTGGAATCCCTTCATACGATAAGCGAAAATGAATCATTATTATTAGAGATTCACTTAAAAACATTTGATTGTAATCAAAGTGAATAAGGCAATCAGAACAAAAATTGCATTTCAGGGTGTTGTTTGTCACGGAACGACATCAGCTGGAGAACCACTATGAAACTTAGAGCACCGAACAGCTGTCTCGTCCTGGTATGGGACTCCTCACCAGTACACATCGATGACTACACTGGAGGTTGAACCCAGGGATTTGAGTCTTGTGGCAAACATGTTATCATTGAACAACTGAGTCAGGATCCAACGGTCCATGTTTTCCCACTTTCAATGCCATCGTAGAGCTTGGTTTACTCCACTGGTCTCTACTTCTCATTAGGACTTCATGAGATCTCATCTCGAAGCATATCACCAATGAGTATCAGACAGTATTTCAGTTTAGAAGTTTGCAAGCATTTATTGATTTCAATCCAATCGACTAACATGCTTCAAAGGATATAATCTCATTCGTAATTTTGCAACAGTATTATAATGAACAGTTTTCGTATAAATAATGATACCATTATACCTTCATTCCCCAACTTTAAGTCGGTAGACAACAAGTATTTGGGCTCATTAAATCTGTATAAAGAACTTTCGAAAGTATTGCAAAAACTTGTAACAAAACTCAACTTTAAGTCGATAATTAGTAAACGTTATGTTGTATACTGAATCAGTCGCTACTGAAATCGGTATCGAATACTCAAACCTGCTCACTCTTATCAGAAAGATTGATGCACAGCATGGGAATAAATGACATCTTCGGGAGGTGGTCTGATTTGATATTATTTACGAAAATAAATTAATTATCATCTAGTTATCTTTTGATAAGGCAGCAAAATTTCACCTGGTTCACTTGAAATTCACAGCCAAGAATATGTCAGGCTGATGTCAATCCAAATCTTCAATATTTGAGATAACTACTGTGTTACCTAGCAGCCTCTTTAAACTTTGTAGTTGGAAGTCTTTCATATTGAAGATCAAATAACTGTAGTATGAATTGAATGACTTTTTATTTGAGGCAGTTTTATGAGCAGAATGAATCCAATTCACTTCAGCATCTCAAACATCGGTCACCAGTGGCTAAGGTCTGTCGATGAGATTTCCAATGTAGTGACTGAGCAAAATGACATGACACTATGGTGAACTATATTTCTCTGTTGAATTCAGAAGATGAAATATAACTTGCAATGTCACTAAATACTGAACGAATAGTCAACTGCAGTATGAGTGGGTAAGTTAAAGGTAATGTTTATGAAATTTCATAATAACTAACAAATATAGACTTCAGGAAATGATTTTCAATGAATGAATTACAAAATCACACAAGTAGAATAATAGAATAGATGAAGCTATATATGTAAGCGTAACACGTGGATAAATAATAAAACATAACGACGGCAGGAAGTTAAGTAAAATAACAATTTGTTCAAATATATTGCCTGTTTTATCTTTGATAAGAAACTTTAAACTTCCACTAAAAACTCATAAATGAGTACTAATATTTACCTCTTCAACTTCACATCCTTTGAAGTAAAGCCAGTTTAAATGGAGTTTAGTTACATGTACGAAAAAACGGACTTAGTTAAACTAGTTTTTCTGTAATAAAATGTTGTCTTTCAGGTAAAAATATTACTTTACAGTCGTTTAAACAAGTTTCTGTCTACACTATCATCAGGAAAAAAGAAAATGTTTAGTTATTTCACTTCAGTTAGCTATCACTTTTGTTACCATTTGAAAACTTTCAATAGTACTTTGAATGAGAAATGTGAAAAAAGTAATGCTGGTAAAGTAAGTCTAAGTATTCTCAGCTTGTAATCAGTTTTATAAGGTTCATTACTCTCTACGGGTGAACAACATTATTACTACACAGATTTTCTTATTTTTGATAACGCATTACCTAAATGAATCATCTGGTCCTCTTTAACGCGATTTGCCGCTTTACCAAGTCATAAACATATTTGTCGCTTACTTTTGTATTCATACTCCAATTACAGAGAGAAAAAAGTCGAGAGTTATTTCGGTCTAGGTTGGAATATTAGTCACTGTTCAATATTAGGCCATCACTTTTACACACTAATAGACCGCAGAGTACGACAGACTACTCGACAAACTGTCAATAGTTTTCTTTTAGTCTACTCTTTTGAATAAATCAGGGACTAATCATCCCTCATGCTATATGCTTGGCACAACTTGGTGTATCCTTGTAGTCACTTAATATAACCTGAGTTATATATATATATATATATATATAACAGTGTACACTTGGACAGTAACCTTCAGATTCTACTCTTGCTGTTTGTTGAGTTCCTCAATAATTGGAAAAGGCGATAAGATAATAGAAGATATGTTGCAACGTCGAAATATATCCAAAATACAATAGTTTTTATATATTTATAATGGCCTTAATTATTTCCAGACTATTATAGAATAAAAAAATCCTATTGATTTTTAAGTGTTAAATCAATCTGGAATTTATACGTAGGTTTGCATGCTTTCTGTCAAAAATTTGGTGCAGTAGGATCGGTTGTGAAAGACTGAAGAGAATTGGGACATTTTAGGCAGATCTTATCAAGTTTACTATACACTATGACAAGTCACCACACGATTATAAGTTGGTAAGATTTTACTGCTCACCATTGCAAGAATATCTTCGTTTTACACTTACATAGCCTAATTCCCTGTACATGTCATATACCTACATCAAAATGTTAAGTGACTTCAAAAACAAGGTACTGTCAAGTACTTAATGGTTGCTCAGTTAGCACTCACCTACTAAGGAAGTAATATTCAAACTCAAAATATATATATATATTATTATTAATTTGAAAGAATTATGGATGGCTTTATAAACAAACTTACTATCAATCCACATGACATAATTAAAATTGCCATAAAATAGTTCCAGTAGTATATGCATGAAATATGTTGAATGTCTAATTTGGGTTCATTGGTCTCACCGAGTATTTGTGCCACCTGTAATTGATTATAAATAAGTATCAACATGATTTTAACCGTATGCATGATATAATTATCAAAAGTAGTTTATTACAAAGATCAAAATATGTAATGAGTCTACAATTTATTCATGTTTATCGAAAAGTGGTAAAACGAGAACAAAGCTCGTAATTCTCTTTGAATGCTGATAAGATTCTATCAGTTGGTAATGGTTATATGACTTCATGTTGTATTAAGTCGAAGCTTAATACCAATTCTAAAGCTCTGTTTGCCTAACATGTAATTACAACGATCGCATTCATAGTGCTGAATTCCAAAGAAATCCTATCTCAATGAATGACACCTCCAAAAAAGAACAAAGGAACAGGAAATGCTGTATACGAGGTGTTGAAAGTTTTACTTACACCAGGTATTACAACCAAGAATTTTAGCAAAACAAGAATAACATGCATGGTGGAATACGATAGATTTATGGAGTGGAAGTGGGTTCACCTGAAGGACATGTCCTGACAGATATATTTATGGGTCATCTCGAACAGACGCACTTGAGTTCAGTCATCACAGGAACAACCTATTAAGACAAGAAAGTTGACGACGCCTTTGTTGCATGTAATAATTTGAAACATGCAAGTGAGTCGTTTGACAAGCTAAGCAAGGCTCATTCTAACATTATATTGAATGCAGAATATGGGAATGAAAACGAGTTCATTTTCCTGGGCCGCAGTGTGAGAAGAAGGACTGATGGTACAACTGAGAAAAACCCTCATAAAAAAGATTCATGAACCGGACAATACCTTAGCTACTACAGTTTCTGTCCTGCTAGCTGTAAGCATGGGCTAATCAAAAAACTTTACAACAGGGCTTTGAAATTATGTTCTGCGGACAAGTTAGGGAAGAAATAAACATTGGTGAGAAGTATCTCCAAAAATAATGGATATCCTAAGAGATCTAATGTGAAGCATAGAAAAGAACAGGTCGCATGAAGGTTTTTATGCACCTTACATTCAAGGGATAAAATGTAACAGAACAGACACAAGAACCAAATGAGCACAATCAAAGAGTTTTTTGCATCTAAACTTGTATCAATGTAAAATACTGCATGCTTGATAAACCAGCTTAAATTGGATAATTATCCTGTTCATGTCACCTTCAGCCGTAATTATCAATTCCTATGCAGTGGTGACAGCAAGTACATTGGATGGACTGAGAGGAGAGTATCCATTCGGTTTGCTGAGAATATTTTCAGGAATCTATGCTTGAAAGAAAGTTAAGTTCTTAACAGTACAATAGCCAGACACCCCATAGACAAACAACATCAGGTTGAAACCTTGAATACTTTTGAAATAATAAACGTACAGAAAATGACTGGATTACAGAGCTTCGTGGCAGCGAGTACTATAAAACTCTTGCAACCTGACATTTGTATCTAAACAAAGAGTGTGGTTAATCTATCTCTTCCTTGAAGATAGTGATTTGATTCTGTTTCATTTCCATTTGAATTATATAACTCTTTATTCATCTACTGTTTTATTATTTTTTCCTTCTTACATATCTTAAGTATGTCCAATCAATCGTATTACAAGTTAAACAGATTATGAATAATTTCGTTCTTTGTTCAACTTGAGATTATTGACTTCCTGACTTTGAAGTTTCTTATATCTTAGTAACCATTGTACTTTTAGACTGTATGCATTTGAAGACCGTTTGTGAAATAAAACGATAAAAATTTCATCCTTTCTGCTAAGCCTTTATTTATCAAAGGAAATTAAATGCATGGAATGGAATTATGCTTTTTTACTGAGTAATTACAATTAGAGTAGTGGAATGAAACTGGAGTTATTTTCAGAGGGAAGCAGTTATTAGCTTTCAACTTCTTTGACAAGAGTTGATTTATTTCTTTTTTTTATCGCAAAACTTTCCTGCTTCTGTTCCATTTTTATACGCCTTTATAAATGATTACGCACTCAGTTCATATTGTATTTCTACAATTCTATTGTATGATCAATATTAATTTGAAGTGAAGTCATTTCAACTTTTAACCCTTTATTTCCATGAATAGCTTGTCACATATACTTACTTATTCAATCTTTCCCATTCTATTTTCTAACTTACCAGATGTAACGAAATGGTAGTCTGACTATGTAAACACCACATAACTTTGATTTCTAACATCAGTTAATTGTAACCGGACTTCTCAATTCTGTACACGTTATTTGTAAATAATTTCATCAATGAACTAGCTTCCTATTAGTCTTTGAAGCCTATGAACTGCATCTATTTCTATATTTCAGGTATTTTCATAGACTGTAGTTAGTTGCAAAAAAATGACGAAATACCAGGAGTTTATCGTGTTCTGCAATATTTATCGTTCCTACTTCATAAAAGCAACAGAAGACAATCAAGCGTGTAAAATAAGAAGTTTGTGTAATGGTCATAGAGAAATTCACATGATTTATGTAGGGATTTAAACATAATGATGTGTTTTCTTGCTACAAGTGGATAGTTCACTTCATTCTGTTTTTCAATGTCTAATTAAAAAAGATTATACGAGTGTCCATCAAACCAGATTATGTAACATTTCTGGTGGTTTGCATCTTTTCAATTGTTTCTATCACCAAAGCATATTTCTTCAGACCTTCCTACTATAAATGAATTAATTTTAGACCGATTGAAATAAAACATAATACAGTAGGAGCTTTGCGCCCATTAAAAATCTAAAAACAAAGGATAACTGTATAAAGAAGCAAGATTTACAGAATTTATGAATTTGGGGAAGAGCTACTCAGCCGAATACTTGATTATTGTTATAGTGTGTAGAAAGATTAGCAAAATCTTCATAAGAACACACATATACCTAAAGCCCTTTTCAACCAATCATCTCGTTTCAAAATTTCGGGAAAAACCATGGGAACCAGCGTCTATGTATCAGATTGGTTGAAGAGATAAAAAATCAATAGAATTTAAATCGAGTAGGCCTAAAAGTAGTCTAGGCTACTGTAATCCATATAAAAAGCTTGTAATTTCCATATATTTTTGACGTTGGTGTTGTGAATACACCTTCTGTTATATTACTGCCTTTTGTATTTATACAGAAGCTAGTTGACCACTAAGGATTAAGTCTGAAGACTCTATCAAGTCACCAGTTAAGATGTATAAAAGTGGCGGGTGGAGCTATACAATCATACATATACGGCTAAATAATACGAGGTGCTCTACACATATGTATTGAAATCCAAGATGACAAATTAAGCTTAAAACACAAAAAGGTTTTTGAATATTGTCAAATAAGCACGTGAAAAAGTTGGCAGGGGTGTGTAAATTGGCTGGATAATCATATAAATTATAGTTTAGTTGCATCATCGTGAGTAAAATATTTACTAAGCTATTAAGGAATGAATCCCAGTTGTAAATATTACATACACACTAATTCTTCTTCATAAACTTGAAAAGACTAAAAACAACAATAGTAGCCGGATAAAGCAGATCCGTTTTATTTTGGTGATGCCTTGTCAACTGTTTAAAACCTAGAATATCAAAATATATAGTTTTATTGGAACGTTACCGTAGTGATCAAAATATTTAGGGACTTAGAACTATAAGATCATGTAGGGTTATATGATGGATAAACAAAATATTCTGAGTTAAGCTCAGTTATAACTGTTTGCTGATATACTTGTAATTCTTCGTTGTTATACTAGATCAAACTCATCGACTTCTGTTGGGATATAAGCTCCTAAGCGGATGCCTCGAAACTGCCTGGATAATTATTATGATAATTTACTTGGTTGTGGCTAGCAGAAGAATCCAGGTCGCGCGCTTAGTAAAAGCCTGTTTCTAGACCAATTCATATAAGTTTTAAAAAGTTGTTATCTAACTAATTATCAACTAATGATCTTTTGTAAATTAGATCTGTAAATTAGGTATTTGTCACACTGATATCAATTTTCATGCTGATTACAATCAGAAAATACTAAAAAACAGCGAAGTAAGAGGCGGTTAAAAAACGTCTTAGTTGCTAAATGGCTAAAGTTCGCTGTGATTCTAATTTGAAAAAAAAATGTACTGAGAACCTAACAATATACTTACAATCAATAAAAGTAGAACAGTCTAAACATGGCACACAACTCATTGCATGGATCATATGTTGTAGCTTCAAATAACATATCCATAGTTCATAGTCAAAACATGAGTCACTTATAACCACGTCACTCTCCTGAATTTTCGTCTCATTTTAGAACTCAAATCTCTAAATGTTATTAATAGAAGTAATAATATGACAATAATGCTGTTGACTTAGACAATATTGGGTTACTTTTCTGTTTACATTTGGGTCGAAATAGTTTTATTCTGGTGTAACTCTAAGTTACTTCATATGTGGTACCAGGATTATTAGTAAAAAATGTTATTTTATCTTCACAATGACGTTCTTACGGTCCATGGATCCACATCTCTTCCCATAAGGGACTACCCAGCTAGATGTACCTGCCTCCAAGTAAGCAGTGTTATTCTCGCTGAGACTCAAACACAGGGTCGATCGCTTCAAAACCCAGGGAGTTATCCCACAAGCCACTGAGTCAAGATGGCTACTACTTGTTTAATAGGTATAGTATAGTTTCGATGTTGTATACTGTAAAACTCTATCATCAGTTGTACCCAGTGTGGACAACATTACTCACTTGGAGGTGGATATATTCAGCCGATGAGTCCTAAGCAGGACGAAGCATGAGTCCTAGACTCCACTTCTAGCTACTATCCACCATTTATACCAAAGCTAAGAATGTAGATGCATTCCCATAGAAGACCATGCATCAATAGTGGCTGACATTTCGGTGAGATCAACGATGGAAATTTTCAAGCTATACCGTCAAAAATATGTCTGCTTATCTATAATTATGATCTTTCAAAAACAGTCATTTAGTAAAGAATGAAAATGCTGGATATGCAACAAGGTGCACCTTCTATACAGCAGATATTAATCTTATTATTACGAATGTTGAAATGTTAACTAATTTATAATT